AACTCAGACCTCTATTGCTGTTTGCAGATCTAAATGAAGTCTGGAGACAGACTTCCTTTTTTATAAGGGCAGATTTGCTGTTCAACCTTTTATTCACAAAGTCACCCATTACCAAGCCTATCCTTTAAATTCCGTAAAGTTATAAAACCCGGCAATCTGGAACTGAATCTTCACTTCTTGAAGTTAACAAGTCTATGGGTTGAAGTTACTGTTCCTGCCAATCTCTAAGGTTCTGTACCCACAGCTCATGGTACAGCTGCTCGACAGGAACATCTGCCATAGGGAACTGCCATATACTTTCTATTAGTGGTTATCATTTCATGACAAGAGGGTTGGGGTTATGCTCCATAGTAATTTATGTTTCTAAATGCCTGACTGTATGATGCACAGATAAATATTTTGAGTGCCTGCACTTACTGTACGTGCACAGGCCATTAAGGTCATGTACTCCGAACGAATGAATAACTGCTGAAAGATCACATCAAAAGAAAAGAATTCTCAATCTTCCCAATGAGAGCAGATGGAGAAAAGTGCTTCGGCAGATCCCTTCCAAAAGCAGCTTGGTGCTGAGCAAGAGCTCAGATCTTGAAAACACATCAAAAGTGGTAAAACACATCCTCTGTCAAGGGCAGGCATTTAATCCCAACCCATTTTTCTCTCAACTTCCCAGTCTGAACTCATTCAGGATGCAGTGATACGGCAGCTGCAGTCTTTGCTCCCCACAGACACTGTGGCATTCAATCTATGGCACCAGTAAGAGACAAGCAGTAGTATAAAAACAGAGTTGGTTCATATCTGCAATTAGTTCAAGTTTTGACTTTTGAAACCATGTAGGAAATGAACTAACATCATGCCCTGAAATGAGATGATCACAGCTTACATGAGGTGTATTGGATGCTCCAAACGAGGCATAAGGTCAAACTGATCTCAACCTTTTGAAGACAGAAATACACAACATCAACGTCATCTCTGAGCATTCCTCTATCCCACTACATTATCAGGGACAACTGCATTTCAAAGCAGAGTAGCACCTCCAAAAATGGATTCCATCTCCACAGGTATAGCTCTGAGATTCGGAGCCCCTAAACCAAAATATGAACCAGGGGGGTTCCTGCTGTGGCACTCAGTAAGAGTGGATCTGGAAGGACTCATCAACACTTCAACTATTTCAAAACCAAACAGTAAATGACATTATGCAATGTGGTTTGGCAAACTTCAAGCACCGATATTTAGGCAGGTTTGGTTTTTATTAGAACCATTCACATGGCACTGGCCCAAACAATGATAGGACAAGGGGTAATGGGTACAAACTGGAACACAAAAGGTTCCACTTAAACTTGAGAAGAAACTTCTTCTCAGTGAGGGTGACAGAACACTGGAACAGACTGCCCAGGGAGGTTGTGGAGTCTCCTTCCCTGGAGACATTCAAAACCCGCCTGGACACATTCCTGTGTAACATTATCTAGGTGTTCCTGCTCCGGCAGGGGGATTGGACTAGATGGTCTTTTGAGGTCCCTTCCAATCTCTAGCATACTGTGATACTGTGAAACCAGCATTTGAGTTTGGGGGCATTGTCAGAGATCTGCACTACAGCATGTCTTCGTTTGCAAAGGTGCTTGAGGTGGAGTAAGCATGGACGGATGCAGCAGCAGCATCTTTTAGGATGACAGCACAAGGAACAGCCTTGGCTGTCTGGCCCTGAAACAAAACTGGACTCTGCTTATCTTGACAGAAAAGAAGTAGGGACTGATAAAAAGCAAAATGCATAATGCAGCTTTTCATGTATTTCCTCTCAGTATTAAAGGGTTTAAGACATGGTGCTTGCCATCCATGCTCACATTTGGAGTTCTCAGGCCTCACAAGATGAATGCTTCCCCTTTCCTCAAAGTAGTTTTTATTTCTGTGTTGAAACATATTCCAAATTGTAACAACAGATCAATTTCCTTGTGCTGACCACAGGAAGAGATGGACGACTGCAGTGAGAGAGTTCAAACATCTTAATTGCAAACAGGATTCTATTGTATTCTCATTTATATAAGACAGCTCCCACTATATACCCCACTGTATAAAAACACCCATTAAGGATAGTGACCACCCAGAAGCAACGAACAATTCCAAGAGGCTGCGGGAGGAACACAGCTTAGCTACACACATGTTCTTATTTAGGTAAGTCCTCAGAAAAATTAAATTGAGCTTTATGAAAGTAAAATGAAATATTGATGTCAACAAAATGCAAATTTCTAGAACATCTGTGTTTGAGAAATATAATCACACTAAATCAGAGCACTGGATTTAGCTACAATTATAGCAGTCAGATTTAAACAGAAAACTGTTTTTTTCCAAAGTGGAAAGTCCTATAAGACATGTTAGAGAAGTAAAAGGTACTGATTCTATGTAAACCATAATCACAGAGTAGCTTAGTCTGATCTCATTACACCAATTTGCATGTGCATTACCATTACTGCAGTAAAGACAACACTCACCTGAGTGGGGGACAGTGATCATAGAATCATAGAATGGTTTGTGTTGGAAAGGACCTTAAGATCATCCAGTTCCAACCCCCCTGCCATGGGCAGGGACGCCTCACACTAGACCATGTCACCCAAGGCTCTGCCCAACCTGGCCTTCAACACTGACAAGGATGGAGCATTCACCACTTCTTTGGGCAACTTGTGCTAGTGCCTCACAGCCCTCACAGTAAAGAATTTCTTCCTTATATCTAACCTGACCTTCCCCTGTTTCAGTTTAAACCCATCACCCCTTATTCTATCCCTACAGTCCCTGATGAAGAGTCCCTCTCCAGCACCCTTGTAGGCCCTATTCAGATACTGGAAGGCTGCTATGAAGGCTGCCCTACTGTTTGAAGTGTGATGGTGGATTGAAAAGACCTCTTGTAGACAAATGTTTTTAACATCTCATAGACACAAGTGACAAGATAAATACAGCTCATCCCTCTTCACAGGTAAAAGCAGTTATACATAATACCTATTCATCTGCAATAGATATAAACTGTTAGAAATCCATTGGCTCAAATGCAGTACTTTCAAATCATACTACCTGACAAAAACACCTTCAAGCTGGCCACTAGAGAGTAGAAAAATGGCACTTGCTGTTAGAAACTAAGGGGTGAACCCAGCTGGCCTGTGGTGAGAACTCAAGCAGACACCAAGACCACATTTTTGTTTCTGATTTGGTCCAGCATTTGTTTTAATTGCATAAAGCAAGCAGATGCCCAGACATCTGTCTATCAATCACTGGCAAACAACGAGAAGAAGAAAAAGCTCCCATCTGTATTTCCTATGTCCTTTGACTCCCTGCACTTGTCTGGAAGTGAGTTATCAGAGATACCTGTTTAATCTGTCATCACAGAAGCCAAGAACTTCTTATTCCTTAACTTTTTTATTATCAAAGGAGTGGGTAAAAACCCACCTAATGCAGAGACAGGCTATGAATGTCCCATATTACAGATTAGGAGAAGAGAACATAGCCTGGCCTGATATTCCTAAGCCTTTTACCCAGCCTGTCATTATCTGACACAAAATACTGGAGAGGAAGCTCCAGTGCTTGGAAAAGGTAGGAAATGAAAATGACCATATGGATACATTCAGAAGGAACACACTAGTATCTAGGCAGTGTCAGTGTGGTAAATGCTGTGTATTCCCTAAGATTCTGGCACCCTCAGCTCCTCATCAGTCACATAATCATGGAATCATAGAATCATAGAACGGTTCAGATTGGAAAGGACCGTAAGCATCCAGTTCCAATCCCCTGCCATGGGTAGGGATTCCTTAAACTAGACAAGGTCACCCAAGGCTATGTCCAACCTGGGCTTGAACACTGCCAGGGATGGAGCATTCACCACTTCTTCGGGCAACCTGTGCCAGTGCCTCACCACCCTCACAGTAAAGAACTTCTTCCTTAGACCTAACCTGAATTTCTGTTGTTTCATTTTTGAACCCATCACCCCTTGTCCTATTGCTATATTCCCTGATGAAGAGTCCTTCTCCAGTATCCTTGTAGGCCCTTTTCAGATACTGGAAGGCTGCTATGAGGTCTCCATACAGCTGAACAGCCCCAACCTTGTCAGCCTGTCTTTGTATGGGAGGTGCTGCAGCCCCGATCATCCCCATGGCCTCTTCTGGACTTGCTCCAACAGCTCCATGGCACACAGCAAAGCAGCAACTCCATATGAAGGCACTGCACATATAATACCAGAACATTTTGGGTACTCCCTAATATGTTATCCCTCTGTGTTCCACAGAAGGCTCATGACCACCTGTTTCTCTTCCATTGTTTGCATCAACTGTCACAGATTCTTACATGTCAGGGAATAAAATGCAGTCATCAACAGAATAGACATCTTTGTGTTTGTCTGTTCCAGCTAGGGGAGTTTATATTTATTAGTGCAGAAGTGTAAAAATATTTGGTGGCAAAATGAACCCAGCAGATGTTTTTGCTGGCAGGAGCCTGGGAGTCACAACTGTAGTACTGGTTGTGAAAGAGTAACAGCTGAGCATGTGTTGGAGTTGCTTTTGCACTGACAAGGAGGCATCCAGTGCTCTGTGGTTAATTGGATTACAGGGGCTTTCCACTTCCCACTCAGATCAATTAGCATTTTAGGTTATTCACTTATCACCCTAGAGGATGTAAAGGTTGAAGTTAGTAACTTCCATCACAGTCCTTTTGCAAGAGTTTAAAAGACTTTTCCCCCCAGCCCCTGCCTCTAGCTCATTTCTTTGCTGCTTTACACCTTGCTCAACTACAGGGTTGCACCATGCTCAACTACAGCATTCTTCTTCTTTGGCAAAACAATCAATTCACATGACAAAATCAAATATTGGGACATTATATAGGTGTCCCTGCCCATGGGGATGGAACTAGATGATCTTTACAGTCTCTTCCAACACAAACCATTCTATGATTCTAAATTTAGTATAACTTCCCTCCCCCTCCCCCCCCCCCGAGACAAAGCAAAGAAAACATTTGCAACTTTGTTTTACATGAAATCAGAAGGAACATGGCCCATGATACCAACCTCCAGTGAATCTTGAAGCAGTGTGAAAAGCAAGTCCATCCCACAAGATCCATCTACCAAGCAGCATTCCTGAATAGATGTTATTCTGTCACTGATGGGGTGTTTCTTATGCAGTTTCAAATTAATAGTCAGTAAATGCTTTGATCTTTCTTTTGGCTTTTTGTAAGAACTATGCGATGATTTTCAATAAATTAATGTCCTTGTAACACCCTGGTCTCTACATCACAGTTTGGCACATCTGCCAGCATTTGAGAGGGCACAGATGTAAAGGGGGAGGTCACAGACAGATACTCCTGGAGAGTCAACACAGTTTTCAGAGAGCACATCAGAGGTCCAGGGAAAGAACACAGAACTTACCCTCACATATCCTTATGAACAGAACTTGGCCTGCAGCATTTGCAGACCTCTAATGTCTCGGCAGTGTGGGTTTGGCATTTCTCAGAGCACAAAACAAGCTTCTTTGCCTCCCAGAACCCCTCGCGTGGAAGCCAGGAGGGGAATGAGCACTTTGCTCAGAGGGTTGATAAAACAGATACTGGTGCTTCAGCACAATGAAACATGACCGAAGTAAAAAAGGAGTTACCACATTTTCACTTTTAAATACAAAGTCACTTCTCCCTTCTTCCCCTAAAGATCAAGGAAACAGAAGGAGAAAGTGAGAATGAAGACACAGTAGGGGGTAATCTAAGGAAATGAAGTGCCTACTACCAAAATATTCATCAGGAAGGCAAACCATATTCTGTACATTTTACAGCACAAAGCTGTAAAACAAAGTTACCAAGGCACCGACTATGAAAACTACAACAAAACTAGGCTAAGTGCATACTGGTTGCAAACTAAGTTGCCACAAAACTTTGCAGGTTAATTGTGTGTGTCTTTTGTAGGTGCTGCTGCTGGTTTTCATAAACCACGATGTTTAGGACAAGCCAATCTTCACAAACACTGTCATCCTGGCATGCCTAAGGCTGTGTTTCAACTGCTGGTGTCAACAGTCTGCTTTGTCTTTGGTGTTTGCCAACACAATCAAAGCTGCGTTTTGTTGGGTCAATCAACATTTAGCATTTCTTACATAGCTAGTGCACAACCCTAGGTTGTCAGCACACCTGAGGCAGCTATCATCGGGCTATCTGAAGAACTGGCATTAGCAGAATTGCAGTTCAGACATCCCCTGGTGTTTTCTCTAAGCTCATGGTACTGTGCTGGCACCACTGGGCTCCACCAAGGATGAAACTGCAACCTCTTGCCAGCGTCATTCGCAAAGAAGCCACAGGTATTCAATGGAAAGAACAAATGACAGGCAAAGCAATACAATTGGACTGGTGATGCTAGTAATTACCAGTCTCCAGCTGAACACTGTACCAGTAACTAAAGGAAGAAAAATGATACAAGGGCAAATTCAGTGTGCTCTGCCTACCCAAGCTCTGAATAAGCCCAATGCATCTGCTTCTGAATACAACTTAACTCAGAGCCAGCACCTTAGGGCAGCTGGAGCCCAGGAGGACAGCACTGGAAATTCAGGATACCTGTAACAGCTACCCAAATAACACATGGCTCTTCAGAGCCAGAGGTTCTCTTACCACCACAAGTTGGAATGCCTTTGTCCTGCTGATGCTCAGCCTCACACTGTCTCATATTGTGTTTAGACTACCTACAGTGTGACAAAGTTCTCTAGTGAAATGCTTCTATTCCTCAGGAATTAAGTCCGTGCACCAGACGCTGAATGGGCAATTTCATCAGATCTCTATGAAAAAGTTGTTTCTCATAAATTTATTCTTCTCTCTGACGCAAGCAGATTTCAGCCCAAGAAAAAGTAATGCACCTCAGCTTCACAGCTAAAAAACCTCCAAGAGATGAAGAACTAATTCCTCACCTGAAAGACTGGAATTGACTGCACACATTTCCCCTCAACTCAGCTGCAAACAGACGAGCAAGACTTTGAAGGCCAGGACACTGCTTCTCCTCATTCCAGCCAGCAGGGGGTTACCCACTCTCAAGTTACCAATTCATCTCCTGGTTACTTTGTAGCATTCAGGGGAAACCCTTGTCGGACTAGCTCCCTCCTTTTCACAACCTCAGAGAACATGAGGAGGTTTCACATTGCACCACCATCCATGGTTCCTCCAAAACCACCAAACACACAACCTTCAAGTCTCCCTCCCATTTCAGCGCTAGTGAGGCAAAGAAAGAGGCTCAAAGAGCAATACTGAAGCTTGCCACCAATTCAGCTCTTCCTCTCACAGACAAGAGCTCAGAAAAATCAACCTTCTTCCTGGGAGGGATAATGAACTCTGCGTATTTGGGAATGTCATGCTGGAGTTAGTGTGGCTCCCATAAAGATCGCATGCCCTTCTCCTGGCTCTGTAACTAGCTGTACACTCACTTCATGTTTAATAAAAGCTCTTGGCTTCTAGTCATATGGCTATTTGCTGGGGGAAAAGTTCCAAAAAATCAAACTAAATTACTCTGAGCCAACTTTATCTACAGGTCCATTAACTGAAAATTTTACGAGGCATGATTTTTCCTAGGAGAAACCATCTGAGTCTGATACACCTGGAAACAAATGCTATTATCCGCAATTCTCCACTTGGTTAGAGTTGTTTGTTTCTTCCATGCAGCTGACTAGTGTGCAACTCCCAGAGTTCTTCTGTCTCACCATTCAAATAAGCCTTGAAGTGAACATATACAAGTTTGTTCATCACCAGTTTTTCTGTTTATGGGCTAACACCCTCATATTAGAACTCAGCTACATGATCCTGAAATAGTTCCATCTTCCAGGGTTATAAAAAATGAAAATAATTAATTGTGAGGAACCTGAGGGTTCTAGTACAGGACAGGTCTTAAACACTTTATCCCATTGACTTACATGAAGCTTTGATTCCATACGAGGCTAGGTGCTTAACTGGCTAACACTTTTGAGTTTTGATCAAAGTGGAACTGGAATTATCTGAAGCTTTTTGCAGCCGCAAGGTTATACAGATTGCGGTTGAGCTGCCCAGCACTGGGAGTTTATGTCTGGAGGACTGTTCTACTTTCTTGATCACCTCAATACCCTTGAATGTTCCTAAATAACCATTACATCATCTAGGAACCATGTCATACAACTCAGAAATGCCAAATACACACAATACCATGCAAAAAAAGTCATCATGTGGTGTGGCACATTAGAATTTCAAATTCAAGATCTCATGAACATGGGCTCTAACAGATGAAGATCCCCTGAGCAATAGTTCCTTGACATGCTGTTGTTATTTTACATTGCATGATCACAGAATGGTTTGGGTTGGAAAGGACCTTAAGATATCCAGTTCCAACCCTCTGCCATGGGCAGGGATGCCTCACACTAGACCATGTCGCTCAAGGCTCTGTCCAGCCTGGCCTTGAACACTGCCAGGGATGGAGCATTCACCACTTCTTCGGGCAACCTGTGCCAGTGCCTCACCACCCTTACAGTAAGGAACTTCTTCCTTAGATCTAACCTGAATTTCTGTTGTTTCATTTTTGAACCCATCACCCCTTGTCCTATTTCTATATTCCCTGACGAAGAGTCCTCTCTAGCATCCTTATAGGCCCCCTTCAGATACTGGAAGCTGCTATGAGATATCCAAGCAGCTTCTCTTCTCCAAGCTGAACAGCCCTGACCTTCTCAGCATGTCTTCGTATGGGAGGTGCTCCAGCCCCTGATCATCCTTGTAGCCTCCTCTGGGCTTGCTCCAACAGCTCCGTGTCCTTCTTATGTTGAGGAACTGCACCGAGGGCTGAAGTGGGGTCTTATGAGAGGCAGGATCACCTGCTTTGACCTGCTGGTCATGTTCCTTCTGAGCAGGCCAGGACACAGGGTATTTCTGGGCTGTGAGTGCACACTGTAGTTGATGTGTGCACTCACATGTTCTCAATGATGTGGAATTGAAGTTATTCACCCAGTGCAAAAGCAACTGAGTAAGTTAATGATGAGCATGAGTATTATGACCATTCAGTTATTTTCCACTGAAGAACAGCATTACTACATAGGCATGCCTTTAGCATTTGCTTTTACCACAAAATTAACTCATAAATGATATATAAATTACTTTCTTTGCTTAGAGAATTCAAACATGAATCCCCACAATACAAATATTTACTTATTTAGAATACATTTTTAACTCAACTTTAAATGCTAATCAGTTTAATGATTTTTTTTTTTAAATATTATTGGCTTCCTAATTTATTTATTCATTACAGTGAATAAAAGAATTAGTTTTTTTTTTCTGGTATAAATTATACACATGGAACACATGCAATATCTGTATTAAAAGCTGTAATTATGAATAGTCTTTTCTATATATATGAACACCTGTTACACGTTCCCCATTTGTTTGAGATATTTTTCTGTAATAGAAACCTGGACTCCAGGTTTCAAGGTAATTGCACGTAACAATATATTTGACCCACCAGCAATTTTCCTTATACAGTATTTTTATTCCCTCAAGACACTGATTCATAACCTTTGACCTGTAAATTTTCATCTCAAAATCCTGATTGCTTTTCTTCCACAAATAAGAAACCTTGTTACATGGATGGGTTAGATTTACCTCTGAACACATGTGTGGAGAGGCCAGAACAAAAGCTGAATGCTTAAACTATTTTGGATGCTGGAGAGGGACTCTTCATCAGGGACTGTAGCGATAGGACAAGGGGTGATGGGTTTAAATTTAAACAGGGGAAGTTCAGGTTAGATATAAGGAAGAAGTCCTTTCATGTGAGGGTGGTGAGGCACTGGAACAGGTTGCCTGAAGAAGCTATGGCTGTCTTCATGATTCAGCAGTAGCAGTCATTTTTCTCCTTCTTAGTAGCTGGTGCACTGCTGTGTTTTTGACCTTCAGCCTGGGAACAGCACTGATAACACCAATGTTTTTAGTTGTTTCTAAGTAATGTTTACTATGACCAAGGACTTTCTGAGTCTCATGCACTGCCAGGGAGGAGGAGAAGCTGGGAGGAAGCAGAGACAGGACACCTGACCCAAACTAGCCGAAGGGGTATTCCAT